GTTGGCGTTGTTGTGGTAGTGTAGTTGTTGTGGCATTGCGTGTTGTGGTTGTGGTAGTGTAGTTGTTGCGTTGTTGTGTCGTTTTGTGTTGTAGTTGTTGTGTAGAGTTGTGGTTGTGTAGTTGTGTATTATAGTTGTGGTAGTGTAGATGTTGTGTTGTAGTTGTTGTAGTTGTGTAGTTGTGGTTGTTGTGCCATTGCGTGTTGTAGTTGTTGTGTAGTTGTGGTTGTTGTGTAGTTGTGTATTATAGTTGTGGTAGTGTAGTTGTGGTTGTTGTGTCGTTGCGTGTTGTGGTAGTGTAGTTGTGTTGTGGTTGTTGTGGTTGTGTAGTTGTTGTGTTGTGGTTGTGTAGTTGTGGTTGTGGCATTGCGTGTTGTGGTTGTGGTAGTGTAGTTGTTGTGTTGCGTTGTTGTGGTTGTAGTTGTGTCGTGGTTGTGTAGTTGTGTGTTATAGTTGTGGTAGTGTAGTTGTGGTAGTGTAGATGTGTTGTGTAGTTGTGGTTGTTGTGTATTATAGTTGTGTTGCGTTGTTGTGGTAGTGTAGTTGTGGTTGTTGTGTCGTGCTAACACTCTGGAACACGATACATCGTGACCCAGGCAGGCGACGGGCTGCCTGGCCCAGGACGACGACCCGGGACTTGAGGACCCATGATGTCGTCTTCACTTCGGAGTTCAACAGCCACCCGCTCTGCGTCTGCACCCCGCTTATATACCCTGCCCAGGCCACGCCCCTTTCACAGGCCACGCCCCTTTCACAGGCCACGCCCCCTGCCCAGGCCACGCCCCCTTCACAGGCAACGCCCCTTCACAGGCCACGCCCCTTTCACAGGCCACGCCTCCCTATCCAGGCCACGCCCCCTTCACAGGCCACGCCTCCCTTCATAGGCCACGCCCCCTTCACAGGCCACGCCTCCCTTCACAGGCCACGCCTCCCTTCACAGGCCACGCCCCCCTCACAGGCCACGCCCCCTTCACAGGCCACGCCCCCTTCCCAGGCCACGCCTCCCTGCCCAGGCCACGCCCCCTTCCCAGGCCACGCCCCCTTCCCAGGCCACGCCTCCCTGCCCAGGCCACGCCTCCCTGCCCAGGCCACGCCCCCTGCACAGGCCACGCCCCCTTCACAGGCCACGCCCCCCTGCCCAGGCCACGCCTCCCTTCACAGGCCACGCCCCCTTCCCAGGCCACGCCCCCTGCCCAGGCCACGCCCCCTTCACAGGCCACGCCTCCCTGCCCAGGCCACGCCCCCTTCACAGGCCACGCCTCCCTGCCCAGGCCACGCCCCCTTCCCAGGCCACGCCCCCTTCACAGGCCACGCCCCTTCCCAGGCCACGCCTCCCTGCCCAGGCCACGCCTCCCTGCCCAGGCCACGCCCCCTTCCCAGGCCACGCCCCCTTCCCAGGCCACGCCTCCCTGCCCAGGCCACGCCTCCCTGCCCAGGCCACGCCTCCCTGCCCAGGCCACGCCCCCTGCACAGGCCACGCCCCCTTCACATGCCACGCCCCCCTGCCCAGACCACGCCTCCCTTCACAGGCCACGCCCCCTTCCCAGGCCACGCCCCCTGCCCAGGCCACGCCCCCTTCACAGGCCACGCCTCCCTGCCCAGGCCACGCCCCCTTCACAGGCCACGCCTCCCTGCCCAGGCCACGCCCCCTGCCCAGGCCACGCCCCCTTCACAGGCCACGCCCCTTCCCAGGCCACGCCTCCCTGCCCAGGCCACGCCTCCCTGCCCAGGCCACGCCCCCTTCACAGGCCACGCCCCTTCCCAGACCACGCCTCCCTGCCCAGGCCACGCCCCCTTCACAGGCCACGCCTCCCTGTCCAGGCCACGCCCCCTTCCCAGGCCACGCCCCCTTCACAGGCCACGCCCCTTCCCAGGCCACGCCTCCCTGCCCAGGCCACGCCTCCCTGCCCAGGCCACGCCCCCTTCCCAGGCCACGCCCCCTTCCCAGGCCACGCCTCCCTGCCCAGGCCACGCCTCCCTGCCCAGGCCACGCCTCCCTGCCCGGGCCACGCCCCCTGCACAGGCCACGCCCCCTTCAAAGGCCACGCCCCCCTGCCCAGGCCACACCCCCTTCCCAGGCCACGCCTCCCTTCACAGGCCACGCCTCCCTGCCCAGGCCACGCCTCCCTTCACAGGCCACGCCCCCTTCACAGGCCACGCCCCCTTCACAGGCCACGCCTCCCTGCCCCCACCTCTGGGTCCCTCCACCACGTGACCCCCCAGGCACCCCCTGGGGCCCCCAGCCCTCGTACGGGCCGACACAGAAGTGACGTCATGTCACTACGCTTGTATAAATACAATAGGTGTTTGATCCTTTAGTTTCGTAATTAATTTTATTTCTATAACCCTTTTGCTGATTTTTTTTCAGTGTTAAATGCAAGGCCGTAATTATAATATATTTTGGGGGGGGCGGGACACATCCCCCCCACCCCCCCCCCAATATTCAAATATTCTCAAAATGCCCCCCCCCCGATATATTGCTATAAAATATTTTTTAAAAATTACAAAATGTCTATGCTATGTAGATAAAAACAGCAATTTGCTAAACCTTGGCCACAATATCTGGACTTGATAATTGTTTTTTTACCCTTCTATCTGGCAACAAAACTGACACCTTTTTTTACAAGGAGTCATGTTTGCATAATTTTTTACCTACGTGACTTTACCGAAAGAACTAAGAGTATGAATCCTTGCAGTCACGAAAGCTTCAAATCTAGAATTCAATGTTAAAATCTCCCATAGACTTCAATGTTAAAGTCTCCCGTAGACTTCAATGTTAAAGTCTCCCGTAGACTTCAATGTTAAAGTCTCCCATAGACTTCAATGTTAAAGTCTCCCATAGACTTCAATGTTAAAGTCTCCCGTAGACTTCAATGTTAAAGTCTCCCATAGACTTCAATGTTAAAGTCTCCCATAGATTTCAATGTTAAAGTCTCCCATAGACTTCAATGTTAAAGTCTCCCGTAGACTTCAATGTTAAAGTCTCCCATAGACTCCAATGTTAAAGTCTCCCATAGACTTCAATGTTAATTAAGTCTCCCATAGACTTCATGTTAAAGGCGCCCAAGATACTTCAATGTTAAATCTCCCATAGACTTCATGTTAAAGTCTCCCATAGACTGCAATGTTAAATCTCCCATAGACTTCAATGTTAAAGTCTCCCATAGACTTCAATGTTAAAGTCTCCCATTGACTCAATGTTAAAGTCTCCCTGTAGACCTTCAATGTTTAAAGTCTCCCTAGACCTTCAATGTTAAAGTCTCCCTAGACTTCAATGTTAAAGTCCCCATAGACTTCAATGTTAAGTCTCCCATAGACTTCAATGTTAAAGTCTCCCATAGACTTCAATGTTAAAGTCTCCCATAGAATTCAATGTTAAAGTCTCCCATAGACTTCAATGTAAAGTCTCCCATAGACTGCATGTTAAATCTCCCATAGACTTCAATGTTAAAGTCTCCCATAGACTTCAATGTTAAAGTCTCCCATTGACTTCAATGTTAAAGTCTCCCTTAGACTTCAATGTTAAAGTCTCCCATAGACTCAATGTTAAAGTCTCCCATAGACTTCAATGTTTAAAGTCTCCCCATAGACTTCGATGTTAAAGTCTCCCCATAGACTTCAATGTTAAAGTCTCCCATAGACTTCAATGTTAAAGTCTCCCATAGACTTCAATGTTAACTCCCATAGACTTCAATGTTAAAGTCTCCCATAGACTTCAATGTTAAAGTCTCCCATAGACTTCAATGTTAAAGTCTCCCATAGACTTCAATGTTAAAGTCTCCCATAGACTTCAATGTTAAAGTCTCCCATAGACTTCAATGTTAAAGTCTCCCATAGACTTCAATGTTAAAGTCTCCCATAGACTTCAATGTTAAAGTCTCCCATAGACTTCAATGTTAAAGTCTCCCATAGACTTCAATGTTAAAGTCTCCCATAGACTTCAATGTTAAAGTCTCCCATAGACTTCAATGTTAAAGTCTCCCATAGACTTCAATGTTAAAGTCTCCCATAGACTTCAATGTTAAAGTCTCCCATAGACTTCAATGTTAAAGTCTCCCATAGACTTCAATGTTAAAGTCTCCCATAGACTTCAATGTTAAAGTCTCCCATAGACTTCAATGTTAAAGTCTCCCTAGACTTCAATGTTAAAGTCTCCCATAGACTTCAATGTTAAAGTCTCCCATAGACTTCAATGTTAAAGTCTCCCATAGACTTCAATGTTAAAGTCCCTAGACTTCAATGTTAAAGTCTCCCATAGACTTCAATGTTAAATCTCCCATAGACTTCAATGTTAAAGTCTCCCTAGACTTCAATGTTAAAGTCTCCCATAGACTTCAATGTTAAAGTCTCCCATAGACTTCAATGTTAAAGTCTCCCATAGACTTCAATGTTAAAGTCTCCCATAGACTTCAATGTTAAAGTCTCCCATAGACTTCAATGTTAAAGTCTCCCAGACTTCAATGTTAAAGTCTCCCATAGACTTCAATGTTAAAGTCTCCCATAGACTTCAATGTTAAAGTCTCCCATAGACTTCAATGTTAAAGTCTCCCATAGACTTCAATGTTAAAGTCTCCCATAGACTTCAATGTTAAAGTCTCCCATAGACTTCAATGTTAAAGTCTCCCATAGACTTCAATGTTAAAGTCTCCCATAGACTTCAATGTTAAAGTCTCCCATAGACTTCAATGTTAAAGTCTCCCATAGACTTCAATGTTAAAGTCTCCCATAGACTTCAATGTTAAAGTCTCCCATAGACTTCAATGTTAAAGTCTCCCATAGACTTCAATGTTAAATCTCCCATAGACTTCAATGTTAAAGTCTCCCATAGACTTCAATGTTAAAGTCTCCCATAGACTTCAATGTTAAAGTCTCCCATAGACTTCAATGTTAAAGTATCCATAGACTTCATGTTAAAGTCTCCCATACTTCAATGTTAAAGTCTCCCATAGACTTCAATGTTAAAGTCTCCCATAGACTTCAATGTTAATCTCCCTATACTTCAATGTTAAAGTCTCCCATAGACTTCAATGTCAATATCTCCCATAGACTTCAATGTTAAAGTCTCCCATAGACGTCAATGTTAAAATCTCCCATAGACTTCAATGTTAAAGTCTCCCATAGACTTCAATGTTAAAATCTCCCATAGACTTCAATGTTAAAATATCCCATAGACCTCAATGTTAAAGTCTCCCATAGACTTCAATGTTAAAGTCTCCCATAGACTTCAATGTTAAAGTCTCCCATTGACTTTAATGTTAAAGTCTCCCATAGACTTCAATGTTAAAGTCTCCCATAGACTTCAATGTTAAAGTCTCCCATTGACTTTAATGTTAAGCAAATTTAGCTGTGACGGTCCCACCTGATGACGGAGACTTGTGTTGCCTCCGAAACGTCGTCATTTATTATTTTATTTTATTTCCATTATTACATAATTTAAAGGAACCATAAACACATGAAAAAAGACCTCGATTTACAATTTATGAGTAAAACTCCATTTACACAATATACAAACAGGTAAAAATGTCAAGTTTAAAACGTTGGCGTTCGCGAACAATATCATTCATAAGAGGTTTTTTCGCGATCTAACCCAAGAAACCTCTATTACGGAGGTAAAAATGTAAACAAGTATAACCCGTAAAAACAAAGTTTTTCACTCTAAATCCTTTATATGCGTGGCGGCTAGAGTTCTCTCGTCCTCTGGCTTGAGATGGCTGCAATCTATGGGTCAGATGATTGTCTGCCAGTATTAAGCAATTGGTAATTAAATATTAAATTTGTTTTCCCTAAAAAGTGTAAAATTTTGGAAAAAAAATTTCACGAAAATTAATTGTCTCGCACAACGAGTCTGTGTGGAAAATGTCAGCTCGATTGGATCACGGGAAGTGGGTTAAAAAACGAGCGAAAGATTTGCACAGTCCTATGCAAGCAAGCAAGCACGCACGCACGCAAGCAAGCACGCGAACTTAATATAAAGGATTTAAAAACTTAAATATCTTGGCAACAGTAGCCAATTTTCATATTTGAATTCAGCGCCTCAAAGTCTTCTATATATATATATACAAAAGGAAAATTTGTGGATGTGCGTGTCTGTTCGAAATGTTTAGCGTACTTCTCAACATGCTACAAACTTGAAATTTGGCATGTGGGTAGCTCCCATAATGTAAACAATGCAATAAGTATAAAAAAATAGACTTTTGTCTTTTGTACTAGTAGGAACCTCCTGGTTCCACCACGAGTTTGTCCTGACTAACCCCGTCCCTGCTCCCTCAATTATCGATCACTCCACTACTATACACTACACTATACACTACACTATACACTACACTATACACTACACTATACTCTACTCTACACTATACACTACACTATACACTACACTATACACTACACTGTACACTACACACACTATACTCTACACTATACACTACACTATACTCCAATTATACACTACTATACACTATACACTACACTATACACTACTCTACACACTACACTACTATACACACTACACTCCAATTATACACTACACTACTATACACATTACACTCCAATTATACACTACACTACTATACACACTACACTACTATACACACTACACTACTATACACACTACACTACTATACACACTACACTACACTCCTACACTATACACTACACTATACACTACACACTACACTACACACTACACTACACACTACACTACACTCCTAATCACGCGCGCACCGGCTGAGCTACGGCAGTGGAGCGACGCTCAGAGGCTCGACTCGTTCGGCCACTGCATCGTTCCCTCCGTTGGCTGTACTTCTACGCTCCCCGTCGAGACTCGGACGTGAGCGGCACGGACCGAGGCGTAGGTGGCGTGGGTCGCGGTGTCTCTGCGTGGCGAGGAGTCGTGGTGGTGGTGGTGGTGGCGTTTGTCCGGAGATTCGACTGAACACAAACGGCACGCGGGGACACATTCAGCACAACAACCACAACTACACTACCACAAATACACTACCGCAACTACACTACCACAACTACACTAACACAACTACACTAGCACAACTACACTAACACAACTATACAAGCACATTTTTTTTTGGTGTTTCATTCAGACGCTGTCTCCCCGACAGACCTGGTCTTCAACTGAGGACGGCTGCTTGCGTTGTGGCCGAAACGTCGTGAGAATTGTATTTTATTATGTTTAATTTTTATTATTTTATTATTTCCCTTCTACGTGATGACTTTACCGAAGGAACCAAGAAGATACACAACCACAACTATGATACACAGCAACTACACAACCACAACACAACAACTACGACACACAACGACACAACAACCACAACTACACAACCACAACTACACTACCACAACTATGATACACAGCAACTACACAACCACGACACAACAACTAGAACATGCAACGACACAACAACCACAACTACACTACCACAACTACGACACGCAATGCCACAACAACCATAGACCCACAGAGACCCACACACACTCATAGAGACTCAGACCCACAGAGACCCACACACAGACCCACAGAGACCCACAGAGACCCACACAGAGACCCACACAGAGACCCACAGAGACCCACACAGAGACCCACAGAGACCCACACAAAGACCCACACAGAAACCAACACAGAAACCCACGCAGAGACCCACACAGAGACCCACACAGAGACCCACAGAGACCCACACAAAGACCCACACAGAAACCAACACAGAAACCCACGCAGAGACCCACACAGAGACCCACACGCAGAGACCCACAGAGACCCACACAGAGACCCACACAGAGACCCACAGAGACCCACACAGAAACCCACGCAGAGACCCACACAGAGACCCACACGCAGAGACCCACAGAGACCCACACAGAGACCCACACAGAGACCCACACAGAGACCCACACGCAGAGACCCACAGAGACCCACACAGAGACCCACACGCAGAGACCCACAGAGACCCACACAGAGACCCACACAGAGACCCACAGAGACCCACACAGAAACCCACGCAGAGACCCACACAGAGACCCACACGCAGAGACCCACAGAGACCCACACAGAGACCCACACAGAGACCCACACGCAGAGACCCACAGAGACCCACACAGAAACCCACGCAGAGACCCACACAGAGACCCACACGCAGAGACCCACAGAGACCCACACAGAAACCCACGCAGAGACCCACACAGAAACCCACACGCAGAGACCCACAGAGACCCACACAGAAACCCACGCAGAGACCCACACAGAAACCCACGCAGAGACCCACACAGAGACCCACACGCAGAGACCCACAGAGACCCACACAGAAACCCACGCAGAGACCCACAGAGACCCACACAGAAACCCACGCAGAGACCCACACAGAAACCCACGCAGAGACCCACACAGAGACCCACACGCAGAGACCCACAGAAACCCACACAGAGACCCACACAGAGACCCACACGCAGAGACCCACAGAGACCCACACAGAGACCCACGCAGAGACCCACACAGAGACCCACACAGAGACCCACAGAGACCCACACAGAGACCCACGGGTGTAAGAACTCACTCGCTGTGCCTGTCGCTGCTGCCGCTGGCTTGGGGCTGTCCCTGTTCACCACCGCGTAGGTGGGAGGCTCTTGAAGGGTCTCGTAGTCGCATGCTGGGGGGAATTTAACACGAAGTGTTTTTACTTGAGCACGTGTGAGCACCCCCTCCACCCGCTGACACCCCCCATGATCAGAGACCCACAGAGACCCACACTCATAGAGACCCAGACCCACACAGATCCACGTAGACCCACATTCATAAAGACCTAGACCCGCACAGACCCATAGAGACCCACAAAGAACCACACAGACCCATACAGAGCCACATAGACCCAGAGAGACCCACAAGCATAGAGACCCAGACAGACCCACACAGACTCACACAGACCCACACTCATAGAGACCCAGACCCACACAGACCCACACAGAACCATAGAGACCCACAGAGACCCACACATACCCACAGAGACCCACACTCATAGAGACCCAGACAGACCCACACAGACCCATACAGACCCCCACTGAGACCCACATAGACCCACACTCAAAGAGACCCACACAGACCCACAGAGACCCAGACCCACACAGAGACCCACACACACTCATAAAGATCCATTACCCACACAGACCCACACAGAGACCCACACAGAAACCCACAGAGACCCACACACACTCATAGAGACCCAGACCCACACAGAGACCCACACAGAGACCCACAGAGACCCACACACACTCATAGATACCCAGACACATGCAGACCCACGCAGAGACCCACACTGAGACCCACACAGAGACCCACAGAGACCCACACAGAGACCCACACAGAGACCCACACAGAGACCCACACAGAGACCCACACAGAGACCCACACAGAGACCCACACAGAGACCCACACAGAGACCCACAGAGACCCACACAGAGACCCACACAGAGACCCACACAGAGACCCACACAGAGACCCACACAGAGACCCACACAGAGACCCACACAGAGACCCACACAGAGACCCACAGAGACCCACACAGAGACCCACACAGAGACCCACACAGAGACCCACACAGAGACCCACACAGAGACCCACACAAAGACCCACACAGAGACCCACACAGAGACCCACGCAGAGACCCACACAAAGACCCACACAAAGACCCACACAGAGACCCACACAGAGACCCACGCAGAGACCCACACGCAGAGACCCACACTGAGATCCACACAGAGACCCACACAGAGACCCACACAAAGACCCACACAGAGACCCACACAGAGACCCACAGAGACCCACACAGAGACCCACACAAAGACCCACACAGACACCCACACAGAGACCCACACAGAGACCCACAGAGACCCACACAGAGACCCACACAAAGACCCACACAGACACCCACACAGAGACCCACACAGAGACCCACAGAGACCCACACAGAGACCCACACAGAGACCCACACTGAGACCCACACAGAGACCCACAGAGACCCACAGAGACCCACAGAGACCCACAGAGACCCACACAGAGACCCACACAGAGACCCACAGAGACCCACACAGAGACCCACACTGAGACCCACACAGAGACCCACAGAGACCCACAGAGACCCACACAGAGACCCACACAGAGACCCACAGAGACCCACACAGAGACCCACACAGAGACCCACACGCAGAGACCCACACTGAGACCCACACAGAGACCCACAGAGACCCACGCAGAGACCCACACAGAGACCCACGGGTGTAAGAACTCACGCGCTGTGTCTGTCGCTGCTGCCGCTGGCTTCCGGCTGTCCCTGTTCACCACCGCGTAGGTGAGAGGCTCTTGAACGGTCTCGTAGTCACAGGCTGGAGGGAATTTATCACGAAGTGTTTTTACTTTAGCAGGTGTGAGCACCCCCCCCCCCCCGCTTACTATACATAGAGACCCGCATAGACACCCCCACCACGTAGACCCACATAGACCCATACTCACAGAGACCCATACTCATAGGCACCCACAGAGACCCACAGAGACCCACAGAGACCCCCACTTAATAGAGACCCACAGATGAACCCACCTTCATAGAGACCCACATAGACCAACAAAGACCCCCACTTAATAGAGACCCACAGAGACCCACAGAGATCCACAGAGAACCCACACTCATAGAGACCCACATAGACCCACAGAGACCCACAGAGACCCACAGAGACCCACAGAGAACCCACACTCATAGAGACCCACAGAGACCCACATAGACCCGCAGAGACCCACAGAGACCCACAGAGAACCACAGAGAACCCACGCTCATAGAGACCCACAGAGACCCACAGAGAACCACAGAGACCCATAGAGACCCACATAGACTCACATAGACCCGCAGAGACCCACAGAGACCCACAGAGAACCCACGCTCATAGAGATCCACAGAGACCCACAGAGAACCACAGAGACCCACAGAGACCCACAGAGAACCACAGAGAACCCACGCTCACAGAGACCCACATAGACTCACATAGACCCGCAGAGACCCACAGAGAACCCACGCTCACAGAGACCCACATAGACTCACATAGACCCGCAGAGACCCACAGAGAACCCACGCTCACAGAGACCCACATAGACTCACATAGACCCGCAGAGACCCACAGAGACCTACAGAGAACCCACGCTCATAGAGACCCACAGAGACCCACATAGACCCACAGAGACCCACAGAGACCCACAGAGACTCACATAGACCCACAGAGACCCGCAGAGACCCACAGAGAACCCACGCTCATAGAGACCCACAGAGACCCACAGAGACCCACAGAGAAACCAAAGAGACCCACAGAGACCCACATAGACCCACAGAGACCCACAGAGACCCACAGAGACTCACATAGACCCACAGAGACCCGCAGAGACCCACAGAGAACCCACGCTCATAGAGACCCACAGAGACCCACAGAGACCCACAGAGAAACCAAAGAGACCCACAGAGACCCACAGAGACCCACAGAGACCCCACGCTCATAGAGACCGTTCACGCTGTGCCAGGGGGCGGGTGGAAGAACTCACGCTCCGTTCCCGCTGCTAATGTCAGCGTCCGACCATCCTTGATGGCCTCTGCCGAGATGGGCGGCTCTCCCGCGACCTGGTCATGGCACGAGGCGGTCCCCGGCAGGTCGCATTGCGCTGCGGAGAAAGAAATGAAGAGGCAATTAAAAGGTGAATAGTAATTGCGAAAAGCATTTGTTTTACTTGGCCTGGTGTAAGGCCCCGTGGAGCTATGGATATATATATAGAGAGAGACACATAGAGATCCACACTCATAGAGACCCACAGAGACCCACACTCATAAAGACCCATACTCATAGACATGCGTACCCATAGAGATCCACATTCATAGAGACCCACACTCATAGACACCCGTACTCATAGAGATCCACACTCATAGACACCCGTACTCATAGAGATCCACACTCATAGAGACCCACACTCATAGACACCCTTACCCATAGAGATCCACACTCATAGAGACCCATAGAGACCCATACTCATAGACACCCGTACTCATAGAGACCCACACTCATAGAGACCCACAGAGACCCATACTCATAGACACCCATACTCATAGATATCCACACTCATAGAGACCCACAAAGACCCATACTGATAGAGACCCACATAGACCCATACTAATATAGACCCATATAAGTCCATACTTAGAGACCCACAGATACCCATACTCAGAGAAACCCACATAGACCCATACTCATAGACACCCGTACTCATAGAGACACACACTCATAGAGACCCACTGAGACCCATACTCAGAGACACCCACAGAGACCCAAACTCATAGAGACCCACAGAGACCCACACTCATAGAGACCCACAGAGACCCATACTCATAGAGACCCACAGAGACCCAGACTCATAGAGACCCACAGAGACCCAGACTCATAGAGACCCACAGAGACCCAGACTCATAGAGACCCAGACTCAGAGACACCCACAGAGACCCAGACTCATAGAGACCCACAGAGACCCACACTCATAGAGACCCAGACTCAGAGACACCCACAGAGACCCATACTCATAGAGACCCAGACTCATAGAGACCCACAGAGACCCAGACTCATAGAGACCCACAGAGACCCATACTCATAGAGACCCAGACTCACACCATCACCATCACCACTATCACCACTATCACCATCACCACCATCACCACATCACCACCACCATCACCACCATCACCACCATCACCATCACCACCATCACCACCATCACCATAACCACCATCACCATCACCACCATCACCACCATCACCATCACCACCATCATCACCATCACCACTATCACCACCATCACCACCATCACCACCATCACCACCATCATCACCACCATCACCACCACCATCACCACCATCACCACCACCACCATCACCACCATCACCACCATCACCATCACCACCATCACCATCACCACCATCACCACCATCACCATCACCACCATCATCACCATCACCACTATCACCACCATCACCACCATCACCACCATCACCACCATCACCACCATCACCACCATCACCACCATCACCACCACCACCATCATCACCATCACCACTATCACCACCATCACCACCTCACCACCATCCACCACCATCATCACCACCATCACCACCACCATCACCACCATCACCACCATCACCATCACCACCATCACCACCATCACCATCACCACCATCACCATCACCCATCACCACCATCACCATCACCACCATCATCACCATCACCACTATCACCACCATCACCACCATCACCACCATCACCACCATCATCACCACCATCACCACCACCATCACCACCATCACCACCATCACCATCACCACCATCACCACCATCACCATCACCACCAACACCATCACCACCATCACCACCATCACCATCACCACCATCATCACCATCACCACTATCACCACCATCACCACCATCACCACCATCACCACCATCATCACCATCACCACTATCACCACCATCACCACCATCACCACCATCACCACCATCACCACCATCACCATCACCACTATCACCATCATCACCATCATCACCATCATCACTATCATCACCATCATCACCATCATCACCATCACCACCACCATCACCACCATCACCACCATCACCACCATCACCACCATCACCATCACCACCATCACCACCATCACCACCATCACCACCACCACCATCATCATCATCACCACTATCACCACCATCACCACCATCATCACCATCACCACCATCACCACCATCACCACCATCACCACTATCACCACCATCACCACCATCACCATCACCACCATCACCACCATCACCACCATCACCATCACCACCATCACCACCATCACCACCATCACCACCATCACCACCATCATCACCACTATCACCACCATCACCACCATCATCACCATCACCACCATCACCACCATCACCACCATCACCACTATCACCACCATCACCACCATCACCATCACCACCATCACCACCATCACCACCATCACCACCATCACCATCACCACCATCACCACCATCACCATCACCACCATCACCACCATCACCACCATCACCACCATCACCATCACCACCATCATCACCATCACCACCATCACCACCATCACCACCATCACCACCATCACCACCATCACCATCACCACCATCACCACCATCACCATCACCACTATCACCACTATCACCATCACCACCATCACCACCATCACCACCATCACCACCACAAGTTGACAGCAACTCTACCAAGTGGCTGATATCATCATCACCACCATCACCACGTGGGAATTTATAGCAGCAGACAAGTCCTCTGCACGAGTGTTGATGTTGATTCTAATTGGGGAGATGAAAAATCGGAGGACCTGGCGAAAAATACACGCGACCACCACAGGGAGAGAGAGAGAGAGACACGCAGACTCCAAATATACAGCAGACCTCCTGTATACCAGGCGAGGTAGTCAACATCTCCACGGAGAGAGATAAATACAGACTCCAAATATACAGCAGCAGTAGCAGGCTACGTCAGGGTCGGGATCGAACCCACGACCTCCTGTATACCAGACGAGGTAGTTAACATCTCCATTGAGAGAGAGAGACACGCAGACTCCAAATATACAGCAGACCTCCTGTATACCAGACGAGGTAGTCATCATCTCCACGGGGAGAGATAAACACAGACTCCAAATATACAGCAGCAGCAGCAGGCATCGTCAGGATCCAGGATGGAACCCACGACCTCCTGTATACCAGGCGAGGTAGTCAACATCTCCACGGGGAGAGAGAGACGCAGAATCCAAATATACAGCAGGAGACATCGTCAGGGCCCAGGATCGAATCCACGACCTCCTGTATACCAGGCGAGGTAGTCAACATGTCCACGGGGAGAGAGAGACACAGACTCCAAATATACAGCAGCAGTAGCAGGCTACGTCAGGGTCGGGATCGAACCCACGACCTGCTGTATACCAGGCGAGGTAGTCAACATCTCCATTGGGAGAGAGAGACACGCAGTCTCCAGATATATATGAGGTGTCATGGTCGCGATCGAACCCACGACCTCCTGCGTACCAGGCGAGGTAGTCAACATCTCTCAGGGTCTGGGATCGAACCCACGACCTCCTGCATACCAGGCGAGGTAGTCAACATCTCTCAGGGTCTGGGATCGAACCCACGACCTCCTGCGTACCAGGCGAGGTAGTCAACATCTCTCCTAGACACCGTGGGTTCCTAAAACTGGAATGGTGGTGAAATTCGACGCGGTTTACTTACAAACGAGTTGGTTGATTTTTTCTGCACCGGGCCAAGCGTCCTCCGGGTCTTCGTAGTTGGCTTCATCATCAGCATCGCTGCCTTCATCATCATCATTGTGGTCGTCATCATCAACAAAATCATCATCATCATAATCGTCATCATCATCGTCGTCATCATCATAATCGTCATCATCATAATCGTCATCATCGTCATCGTCATCATCATCGTGGTCATCATCACCATCATCATCATCGTCGTCGTCGTCATCATCATCGTCATCATCATCGTCATCATCATAATCGTCATCATCATCGTCGTCATCATCATAATCGTCATCATCATAATCGTCATCATCGTCATCGTCATCATCATCATCGTCATCGTCATCATCATCGTGGTCATCATCACCATCATCATCATCGTCGTCGTCGTCATCATCATCGTCATCATCATTGTCATCATCATCATCATCGTCGTCAACATCATCGTCATCATCATAATCGTCGTCGTCATCATCGTCATTATCATCGTCATCATCATCGTCGTCATCATCGTCATCGTCATCATCGTCATCATCATCGTCATCATCATCATCAGAATCGTCGCCATCATCATCGTCGTCATCATCATCGTCGTCATCATCGTCATCATCATTATCGTCATCATCATCATCGTCATCATCATCGTCATCATCATCGTCATCATCATCGTCATCATCATGATCGTCATCATTATCGTCGTCATCATCGTCATAATCGTCATCCTCACCATCATCATCATCATCGTCATCATCATCGTCGTCATCATCGTCATAATCGTCATCCTCATCATCATCGTCATCATCATCATCGTCGTCGTCATCATCGTCATCATCGTCATCATCATTGTTATCATCGTCATCATCATCATCGTCATCATCATCATCGTCGTCATCATCATCGTCGTCATTGTCATCATCCACTCAGTAGAGCCGAGTTTGATTGATGTTGATTGGCTGTGGCTCTGCTGTCATCCACTCAGTGGGATAGATTATTTTTCTGGGCAGGAGCCAGGAAAGTGTTATGATCACTGCCCGCGCACATCATCAATCGGTCAGTCGTTAGTGTCCGCTCACAATCGAAAGGGTCAGCAATCGAAATCGTAAGCTGTGCTTCGTTTTGAGCGATTCATCCGACCGTTGGTTTTCGATCAATTAATTTGTGAGTTTCAGTTCGCAAAACCGTGTTACTGAAACAGAGTGCATTGATACATCAGTGGTTTTTGGCATAGAGATGCGCGGAAAATCAAAACAAGTATAACCCGTAAAAACAAAGTTTTTCACTATAAATCCTTTATATGCGTGGCGGCTAGAGTCCTCTCGTCCTCTGGCTTGAGATGGCTGCCAACTATGGGTCAGATGATTGCTTGGCCCCATTAAGCAATTGGTAATTACATATTATTTTTTGTTCCTAAAAAGTGTACAATTTTGGAAAAAATATTTTCACGAACATTAATTGTCACGCACAACGAGTCTGTGTGGAAAATGTCAGCTCGATTGGATCACGGGAAGTGGGTTAAAAAACGACCGAAAGATTTGCACGGTCGTAAGCAAGCAAGCAAGCACGCAAGCAAGCAAGCGGACTTAATATAAAGGATTTAAAAATGCCTACATGTTCCAAAAAATTGCGACATTTTTGGGATTATCCACGATTTTAAATTATCCACAGCCCTCCTGCCCGTCATAATCGAGAGCCTAACTGTCGTTTTGGCTCTCACATGTACCTGGACGTCGCGTGGAATCGTTGTGCGTTTCTCTGTAATGAATCAAAGGGTTTAAAAACAACAACAACAACCAACAGACCAGCAGGCTTTGCACGTATAGCGCATTCTCCTAAAGTTGCCAACGTGCGCTGTGGGTTTGTAACTCTCCAACACACACACACGATTTCGATTTAAAGCTTTCGTGACTGCAGGGATTCATCTATAGTATAGTTATTATATTATTTAATTATGTTATATTTTTATTATTTTATTATTTCCATTCTACGTGACTTTACCGAAAGAACCAAGAAGACACACATACGAGTTAAAACCCGTCACCACACGACACAGCCCACTAGTAAGGGTTGTCACGTAAACAGAACGTGGCCAATTCGTTACTAGTACAGCACTAGTGTATACTGTAGTAGTGTAGTGTATAGTGTAGTGTATAGTGTAGTGTATAGTGTAGTGTATAGTGTAGTGTATAGTAGTGTATAGTGTAGTGTATAGTAGTGTATAGTGTAGTATATAGTAGTGTATAGTGTAGTGTATAGTGTAGTGTATAGTAGTGTATAGTGTAGTGTATAGTAGTATGGTGTATAGTGTCGTGTATAGTAATGTATAGTGTAGTGTATAGTGTAGTGTATAGTAGTGTATAGTGTAGTGTATAGTGTAGTGTATAGTAGTGTATAGTGTAGTGTATAGTAGTATGGTGTATAGTGTCGTGAGTATAGTGTATTGTAGTGTGTAGTGTATAGTAGTGTAGTGTATAGTGTAGTGTATAGTGTAGTGTATAGTGTAGTGTATAGTGTAGTGTATAGTGTAGTGTATAGTAGTGTATAGTGTAGTGTAAGTATAGTGTAGTGTATTGTAGTGTATAGTATAGTAGTGTATAGTGTAGTGTATAGTAGTGTATAGTGTAGTATATAGTGTAGTGTATTGTGTATTGTAGTGTATACTGTAGCAGTGTAGTGTATAGTGTAGTGTATAGTAGTGTATAGTGTAGTGTATAGTGTAGTATATAGTGTAGTGTATAGTGTAGTGTATAGTAGTGTATAGTGTAGTGCATAATAGTATGGTGTATAGTGTCGTGTGTATAGTGTATTGTAGTGTATAGTGTAGTGTATAGTAGTGCATAGTGTAGTGTATAGTGTAGTGTAAGTATAGTGTAGTGTATAGTGTATTGTAGTGTATAGTAGTGTAGTGTATAATGTAGTGTATAGTGTATTGCAGTGAAGTGTATAGTGTGGTGTACTAGTACAGCACACCGGTGTGTTGGAGAGCCAAGCCACACCATTTACAATCTGAGTACACAGATTGTAAATTTTACAATCTGACTGTAAAATATGTTGTGGTTTGGCTCTCCAACACACCAGCGTGCTGTACTAGTATACTACACTATACACTACACTACTATACACTACACTATACACTACACTACTATACACTACACTATACACTACACTATACACTACACTATTATACACTACACTACTATACACTACACTACTATACACTACACTATACACTACACTACTATACACTACACTACTACACACTACGCTATACATTACACTATTATACACTACACTATACACTACACTATTATACACTACACTATACACGACTATACACTACACTACTATACCCTACACTATACACTACACTATACACTACTATACACTACACTATACACTACTATACACTACACTATACACCAGAGGTGTGGACTCGAGTCATGTGACTTGGACTCGAGTCAGACTCGAGTCATGAATTTGATGACTTCAGACTCGACTTGGACTTGCATAACAATGACTTTGTCCCACCTCTGCTATACACTACTATACACTGCACTATACACTACTATACACTACACTATACACTACTATACACTACACTATACACTACTATACACGACTATACACTAGTGCTGTACTAGTGACGAATTGGCCACGTTCTGTCTACGTGACGACCCTTACTCGTTGGCTGTGTCGGGTGGTGGCGGGTTTTAACGACACATTAAAATATTTACGCGTCTAACCCCAAAAAAATCTCCAAAAGCTCATCTCCGGCGTTAATTTCTCTCTCTCGCCTTATGATGGCGACGACGACAAAAAAATACCGATTGACATGATGACATGATTTAAAGCTTTTGTGACTGCAGGGATTCATCTTCTTGTTTCTTTCGGTAAAGTCACGTAGAAGGGAAGTAATAAAATAATAAAAAATAAAACATAATTAAATAATTCTCACGACGTTTCGGCCACAACGCAAGCAGCCGTCCTCAGGTGAAGAATGAAACACCACCAAGCTTGGAGCGTATATTTAAGCTGGGTTTATTACTTCCCTTCTACGTGACTTTACCCAAAGAACCAAGAAGATGATGACATGACTCTGCTACCTCTTTGCATGTCGCATATGCGCTCTCTAATCCGCTCTCCTTGCTATTTATCAATATTTGTTCATTCAAGACGACATCTTGGTTACACTTCTGGTCAACAACAACAAAAATCACGGTCACCATTTTCATCGTTTGTAGGCGACTCGAAGCAGTGCCTTGACTATCGTGGCCTATTAGATAACGGGGACCTGCCATTATCCATTATCTATCTGTAGTGGTGTGAACTACTCGCTGTTCGCAAGCTGTGAGAGCAGATCGTAAACAAGGTTTCCCGCTCAATCAAACGGTCAGGGTCAAATGGGGCGAGGTAGGATCCAAACGCCAGATTGGGAAGGACCAATCAGAGGGTCCCACAAGGTGGCCGGGGATTGGACAACGCGGCCACGAACAGGTATAAAAGCCAGAGCGCTGAGAGCTCTTGGCCAGTTCTGCTACACGAAGACCCAAGTCGACCGAAGACATCTAGGACCCTGGACCAAGCCCTCCAGCCCTTATCAGGGCTCAGAGTAAACCAGTGGTCGGGGAGAGATCCCCTAGGTCCGGCCAGAGGACGCTGGGAGAGCAGGGAGATTAGACAGCCTGCAGGCTCCGGAGGCTTGGACCTTCCGAGGGTAACGGGTGAGGGGACCATATACCCCCTTAGTGTGATAGGGACTGTGTGTTAAGATAATAAACGGTGTGTGCCATAAAAAACATCCAATAGAACCCGTCGCAAGTTGAAAGAGACAAAGACGGACTCACCTTATCCTCGTAGCTTTGTGTTTCATCTCGAAGGCTGTGGTGGGACGGGGCGGCGGTGCAATGAACCAGAAACAAACGCAATTCATTTCGATTTAAAATCGGAGGCAGTCCTCACTTTCCTCACACCCTCCATCCTCACTCTGCCCTCTCTTTACTCCCCATCAACCCCCTCCCTCCCTCCCTCCCCCTCCTTCTCCCCCATCCCTCTTCCCCATCCCTCCCCTCCTGCCTGTCCCTTTCCCTTCCTCCCTCCCCCTTTCTCCTCCCACCCCCTGCCTCCCTCCTCCCTCCTCTCCTCCCTCCCTCCCTCCCCCCCTCCTTCATCCCCCTCCTCCACCCCTTCCCATCCCTCCCCTCCCCCTTCCTCCCTCCCCCTTCTCCTCCTACCCCCTGCCTCCCCCCCTCCTTTCTCCCTCCCCCTCCTTCCTCCCTCCCCCTTCCCCCCTCCCCCCTTCTCCTCCCACCCCCTGCCTCCCTCCCTCCTTCCTCCCTCTCCCCTCCTCCCTCCCCCTTCCCCCCTCCCCCCTTCTCATCCCACCCCCTGCCTCCCCCCCCTCTCTCCCTCCTTCATCCCTCCCCCTCCCTCTCCTCCCTCTCTCCCCCCTTCCCCCCTCCTCCCTCCCCTCTCCTCCCTCCTCCCTCCCTCCCCACCCCTCCCCCTTCCTCCCTCCCCCCTTCTCCTCCCTCCCCCTGCCCCCCTCCCTCCCTCCCCCTTCCCCCCTCCCCCCCCTCCCCATCCCTCCCCCTTCCTCCCCCTTTTCCTCCCACCCCCTGCCTCCCTCCCCCTCCCTCCCTCCCCCTTCCCTCTCCTCCCTCCCCCTTCCCCCCTCCCTCCCTCCACCATTGTACGGCTACTCATGTAGATGCGGGGTAGTTAACGTCTCCTCGCCACCGTGGCGTCCTCAAAATGTGACAGAGCCATCATGGAATCAGGACCATTGCTTAGCCCGCAGGAGGTGCCTCAACTACACGTATCGTTGTTGTTAATCGTTAGCGCCGTCACCCGATACGTGCGAAAGAAATAACGCCGATCGGGAACGCATCCCCACAGACACAATGGTGTCACGCTGCCCTTTTAGCGCCGATTCGTTTAGCGCTGCTCGCTTCTCTTTAGTTTACGATCAGTGGAAACAAGAAGATGCTCGTTGTAGTCGGCACTTTGCTTCGTTCATTATTTCGTATTTTTTTTATCTTTGCTTTATGTAACCCCCCCCTCTCGCTCTCGCTCACTCTCTCGCTCACTCTCTCGCTCACTCTCTCGCTCACTCTCCCGCTCACTCTCTCGCTCACTCTCCCGCTCACTCTCTCTCACTCGCTCTCTCGCTCGCTCACTCTCCCGCTCACTCTTTCGCTCACTCTCCCGCTCACTCTCCCGCTCACTCTCGCTCACTCTCCCGCTCGCTCTCCCGCTCGCTCTCCCGCTCGCTCTCCCGCTCGCTCTCTCTCCCGCTCGCTCTCCCGCTCACTCTCTCGCTCACTCTCCCGCTCACTCTCCCGCTCACTCTCTCGCTCACTCTCTCGCTCGCTCTCTCGCTCGCTCTCTCGGTCACTCTCTCGCTCACTCTCTCGCTCACTCTCTCGGTCACTCTCTCGCTCACTCTCTCGCTCACTCTCTCGCTCACTCTCCCGCTCACTCTCTCGCTCACTCTCTCGCTCACTCTCTCTCGCTCACTCTCTCGCTCACTCTCTCGCTCACTCTCTCGCTCACTTTCCTGCTCACTCTCTCGCTCACTCTCGTTCTGCACGCAGCCCTTCTCGCAGCCTGCCCCGTCATGGTGCCATCAAGACCCAAAAGGCTTACCTCTGACGATGAAAACAATGACGAAGATGACGATGACGATGATCACGCCTATGGTCATGCCAGTGATTCCAACTGTAAAAAAATTAACCCGTAAAAACAAAGTTTTTCACTATAAATCCTTTATATGCGTGGCATCGGTTTTATTTTATTATTCATTTCTGTTTTTCTTGAGTAAGAGTTTCATTTTTTATCACGTTGGTATTTTAAATTAAATATAAGGAAAGTCGTATATAAGGATTATAAAGTTTTCAGTTTTTGTATGATTGTTTATATTGTACATTTTTGTTGTTTTCTTGAATAATTTTCTGTGTTTAGGAAAAATATATGATTGTGTTAGTGAATTTTTTTTTTCCTAAAAAGTGGAAAATTTTAGATTTTTTTTTCACGAAAATAAATTGTCACACACAACGAGTCTGTGTGCAAAATGTCAACTCGATTGGATCACGGGAAGTGGGTTAAAAAACGACCGAAAGATTTGCACGGTGGTAAGCGCGCAAGCAAGCAAGCAAGCGAACTTAATATAAAGGATTTAAAAATATATTCGCCTGTGGAGGACGCGGAGATCGATCCCGCGACCTTTGGGCATGGGAAGCGAGGGCGCTACCAACTGCGCTACTCCGCCACGGCCTGTGGAGCTGTCACGCTCTGGGCTCCTACACTGTGACGTTCAGCCAAAGCCATGAATGAGTTCTATTTGAATAAATGTAAAATACAATTTTTTTGCCTAAAAAGTGTAAAATTTAGGAAATTTCACGAACATTAATTGTCTCGCACAACGAGTCTGTGTGGAAAATGTCAGCTCGATTGGATCACGGGAAGTGGGTTAAAAAACGATCGCAAGATTTACACGGTCGTAAGCAAGCAAGCAAGCGAACTTAATATAAAGGATTTAATAAAGGATTTAAAAACGAGGGAACGAGGAGGCTTGCCTGGTGACGCTTTCCAACGCGCAGCTTCTGCTAGGAAAAGTATTTCGCCAGCGATGGGGATGACCGCGCCCCGTTACGAATACGAATACTATGAAGTTTATACTTTAGTTTTTTACGTGGTTGTTTGGTTTCTGCAGCTGCATACTATTCACCAGAGGTGGGACAAAGTCATTGTTATGCAAGTCCAAGTCGAGTCTGAAGTCATCAAATTCATGACTCGAGTCTGACTCGAGTCCAAGTCACATGACTCGAGTCCACACCTCAGAGGTGGGACAAAGTCATTGTTATGCAAGTCCAAGTCGAGTCTGAAGTCATCAAATTCATGACTCGAGTCTGACTCGAGTCCAAGTCACATGACTCGAGTCCACACCTCAGAGGTGGGACAAAGTCATTGTTATGCAAGTCCAAGTCGAGTCTGAAGTCATCAAATTCATGACTCGAGTCTGACTCGAGTCCAAGTCACATGACTCGAGTCCACACCTCAGAGGTGGGACAAAGTCATTGTTATGCAAGTCCAAGTCGAGTCTGAAGTCATCAAATTGATGACTCGAGTCTGACTCGAGTCCAAGTCACATGACTCGAGTCCACACCTCTGCTATTCACATTCCTTCCCTTTGTTGGTGCTGCCTCTGCCCCTGCCCCCTCCCTTTGATGCTGCTAATCCTGCATGATGCACGGGCATAATATGACTTTGAAAACCCCCCGCCCACCTCCCACGCATTTCACAATTCGCACTATTCGCATTCCTGCATTTCCCATAAATATGCTAAATTCCTCTTCAAATGCAAATTCTTTTGTCAAGGCTCTCTTCCTCCTCCCTCACAGCTTAAATAGACACTCCACGCCTAAGACGTGTCATTTAGACTCTGTCTTATCGACAGACATGTTATAGTACGGTATATGCTCGTGTGATGTAAGAGAATAAAGTTTAGATGGAAGCATATTATATAATTTTTATGACGTAGAATTGTAATGTATTACTTGCTGTTAGTAACTCAGCTTAGTGTAGAGTATAGTAAGTATACTGATGGTGCTATGCAGTTTATACTTTAGTTTTTTATGTAGTTTATACTTTAGTTTTCTACGTGGCTGTTGATTAACTGCAGCTACATATGATTAACATTCCTTTCCTTTGTTACTGCTAATCCCTGCACCCCCCTTTGGTGCTGTTGATCCTGCATAATGCATGGGCATAATATGACTTTGAAACCCCCCCACCCACCTCCTACGCATTTCCCATGAATATGCTAAATTCCTCTTCATATGCACATTATTTTTGTTAAGGCGCTCTTCCACCTCCAACTCAGCTTATATATAAGCTCCTAGCTTGGTAGTGTCTCATTCTTCACCTGAAGACGGCTGCTTGCGTTGCGGCCGAAACGTCGTGAGAATTATTTTATTATGTTTATTTTTATTATTTTATTACTTCCCTTCTACGTGGTGACTTTACCGAAAGAACCAAGAAGATGAATCCCTGCAGTCACGAAAGCTTTAAATCGAAATAAAAAAACTAAAACCACGGTGAGGCTCTCGCAATGTCGGCGCTGATGACGGGGGATTACCGCCGCGGACAATTTCGATAATCCAAAAGCGGGACCCATTTTTTTTATCCCCATGGGTCTCCGTGCCAAAGAGAACACACAAAAAAACTACCACCGATGTACGTATGCACTCCTGTTTAGGTCGCACGGTTTCCTTAATTGAAACTCACGGAATGAATGGTCGAAAACAAAAGGTCGGATGAATCACTCAAAACCAAGCACGGCTGACGATTTCGATTGCTTACTCTTTAGAGCACTAACGATCGACCGATGGATGATGCGCATGCTCGGTGTTAACACTGGTCAACACACTTTTTCTGGCACAAGGTATTCCAACGGTTTTAAGGTAATTTTGGGGTGCTGATTCCAAATCTGGTATCAGTTTTTGTCTATAACATCAGTTTTTTGAGATATCAAATATTGCATTTTCAATAAAAACTGCAGAAGAAAAATATTAAATAAATGTGGATATCTACATAAAATGATATTATAGACACACTATACAAAAAATACAGCGCCAAATTTTAACACTGAAGCAGTCACTGACTCGCAACAACTTGCAATCATAAGTGACGGAGTTAATTTCGGGTAAAATCAATGAAAATGGGGTATGCCGATAGCATAACAATGAGATGTGATAGAGCAAATCTGAGATCAGATTTGGAATCAGCACCCTGAAATTAGTCTAAAACAGCTGCAAAAATCCAGGCCAGAAAAAAATGTTTTTTTGTTGTTGACCAGTGTAATAACACTTTCCTGGCTCCTGCCCAGCAGAAGACTCGGGTCCACTGAGTGGATAATAGCAGAGCATTAGCCAATCAACATCAAACAAACTCCACCCCAATGAGTGGATGATAGCAGAGCCACAGACAATCAACATCAATCAAACTCCGCCCACTTGTAAAGATATGGCAACTACTGTACTGTAGAGGAGGCGATCGTGTGTATTTCGCATTAACCGGGGAAACTTATTTCTTCGGTTTAAACACGTGACTTGTAGTAAACATCATGGGACCTCCTTTGCCAGTAGCAAAATATACTAATAGGGGTTTCCCCCTTTTTTCTGGCAACAAAAACTGACACCTTTTGCAAGGAATCATGCTCACATTAACCACAATACTTGCAGTCAAATGAAAACAAAAAACAATACTCTGATAATTTATGCATTGTCTTTGAAACTGATTGGTCCACACCAGAGACAGCTTTCTTTAGAGCCTAGTCTCATATGGTGTTCGACCAGTTGACGCCTTTTGGCGGGGAAAAATCTATTAGTTGTAGTAAACATTTCTAAGAATAACAATGTATACCTGTATTTAGATGATTAATTTGGGCTTCAGGGAAATTCCATGGGCTATTAAGTTACGTCAAAATCTCAGGTGGGTGGTTCATCTGCAAATCGGATAAACCGCACGCGGATAATCAAGAGTCTACTGTGGCTGATGTTACCGGGTATCAGGCCCGGCTGAGTGATGTAGCTCTTGTTCAGAAACGACTCGGTCATCGCAAACGATAGCAGCTCAAAGCAAGTGGCTCATATCATCATCGTCGTGACGTGGAAATGGATAACAGCAGCCAAATACACTCTGGTTCTTTCGGTAAAGTCACGCAGGTAGAAATAAAATAGATCACGACGTTTCGATCGCAACACAAGTGACCCGTCATCAGGCGGAACCGATACAGCAGGACAACTGCTGATTTAGGAGAAAGATCTGCTAACAACGAGAGCTTATAAAGGGTTTTGGTGGGCTCAACCCCAGGAGTAAGTGGGTGGAGCTGGAGAAGGAAGAAAGGGGGGAGGCAAGGCAGAGGTCGCAATCGGGTACCCGATACCCGTACCCTACCCGATACCCGGCTACCCGTACCCGGCCGGGTACGGGTAGCCGGGTAGCCGTTTGCGACCCTTGTGCGGCCGGGTACGGGTACGGGTAGGCAGTGAGTCACTGGTGAGTAGCCGTTTGTCAATCATTTGGCAAGCTTCGGGGCCACTTCCCGGAGTCGTGGAGTTCTTCCATTACTAGTACGGTACATTTCATGACAGCGTGTTTAAAAACAAAGATTTTTTAAATATTACTCATTCAGAAACGACCCAGCCATCACAAATGAAAGCAGCTCAACTGAGCGGCTGATATCACGTGGTGCTAATGCGCTGGAGTCACTGTTTAATTGTTTTCATGGCTTTATTTTAGTGATTTCGAAAAGTGTATTGGTTTGGCCATGTTTTTTTGTTGTAGTACAGAGTTAGACTGATGGCCTTAATCTAAGTTGTCTTGTGGTTGTTGTTGTTGTTGTTTGACTTGCATCCCACTGGGATTTTTGCACACAGCGTTGGTGTACGGTGTTTTTTCTGCAATATTTTGCTGTCTTTTCTTGGATTTTCTGTTTGCACTCAGTCACATAGTCACTTTAAGATGTTTTTTGTTCATGTTTTTGTTTTTTGTTTGTTGCGGTTGCACCCGATTCAAGAGCCGAATGGCTCACAGGGCCATACCTAATACATGAACTTGAACTTGAGTCATGGTTCACCTTTTTGGCACCAATCTCTTTGGTCGTCGTCACTGTGGCTAGGAGATGTTAACTACCTCGCCTGGTATGCAGGCGGTCGTGGGGGGGGGGGGTCAATCACGACCCTGACGCCTACTGCGTCTCTCTCTCCCTCCCCGGGGTGGTCACTGCATATGATTTTTCTCCGGGTCCTCCAGTTTCCCCCCTCTCCACATTTAGAATGAACATCACTACGACTACAAAGCATTTGGCTGTTGCTATGAATGTCTACATGATGATGATATCAGCCACTTGGTTGGAGCTATCGTTTGTGATTGCCAGGTCGGTGTGAAAGAAGTTCAACATCCACCCCCCCCCATCTCAATAACGTAACGGGGTTGTGTTGTGGGGTTTGCGGAGTCTCACGAGGCTTCCATCCGTTCCCTTCCGGTGGTGGTGGTGGTGGGCGGTTGCCATCTGCAACACATCACAGCAAAAACGACAAATGGCACGTTCATATGAATCATCAAGCAATCACCATCCATACGAAGGTGAATTCATTCACGGAGCAAGCCCTCGTTTTCACACGCCAGTAGTAGGTTGTTGTGTTCAGATGTATCAAACACCAAATAGATATCAAACAGAAAGCTGTTTCATTGGCAGAAAGGGACTCTTATTTTTGATACTGGTAAAATATCGTAGATGTACTCTTTGGTTCTTTCGGTAAAGTCACGTAGGTAGAAAATAAAATAAAATACCAAAAATAAAATAAAAATGAAATTTAGTTTCTTCATTTTTTATTCTAAATTTTTATTTTCACCTACGTGAATTGAATTATACTCTTCGAACCAGGGTGGCCGGGCTCGCAGCGTAGCGCTAACCACTGCACCACTGTGCCCCATAAATACAAAGACAAAGATCCCCCGTATAGCCTTAACAGACTGTAGGGGCAAGTGCTGTTAGCGAGCACCTATGAAGGCCGGAACGGTACACGAGGGGGTGGGTGGCCAGCACCACGCCCGACCGCCTTTGTCTCTCCAGTGGTGATGTTTACACACCGCACCAGGTACCCCTTTAAGGCTGAGGCGACCTAGGGGAGGCCCAGGACCGGTTCAGATAATCGTCACTGGTGTTAGCCGTGAGCGGGAATCGAACCCGGGTCGCCAGGTTCATAGCGCAGTGCGCTAACCACTACACTACCGCTCCCCATAAATACACACACACAGACACACACACACATAGACAATAGACACACACACATATAGAGACACACACAGACATACACACACAGACACACACAAACATAGACATACAGACACACACAGAGACACACACAGACATACACATACACAGACACACACATAAACATAGACACACAGAGATACACACACACACATAGAAACACACAGAGACACACACAGACATACACAGACATACACATACACAGACACACACATAAACATAGACACCCAGAGATACACATACACACACATAGAAACACACAGAGACACACACACACACAGACACACACACACAGAGACACACACAGACATACACACACAGACACAAACATAGCCATAGACACAGAGAGATACACACACACACACATAGAAACACACAGAGACACACACAGACATACACATACACAGACACACACATAAACATAGACACCCAGAGATACACATACACACACATAGAAACACACAGAGACACACACACACACACACAGACACACACACACAGAGACACACACAGACATACACACACACAGACACACACATAGGCATAGACACACAGAGATACACACACACACACATAGAAACACACAGAGACACACACAGACATACACATACACAGACACACACATAAACATAGACACCCAGAGATACACATACACACACAGACGCACGCACAGACGCACGCCGGTATCTCACCGCTGACGTAGACGCACGTGGCGACCGTCGCTCTGCGTCCGGTCGCGACGTTGGTGGCCACGCACTCATAGCGCCCCTCGTGGCCAACTTGCAGGTTGTGGATGGTCAGCTCGCAAGCATCTGGCGGGGACGACGACGCCGGCAGTGGCAGCCTCCCACCGTTGAGGCTCCACGCGCAGACGGCCCCTGGTCCGGAGGCGGTGATGCACGCCAGGCTCAGGCTGCCGCCCTTCGTCGCGTTGTGGCAGCCGCTTGCGCCGGGCAGCGATCCGACCGAATGAAACGCAACGACGACCCTGCCGCTGCCGTTGTCGCCGTCGTTGCTGCCGGCGACGACGACGACAAAAGCCCCATCGCCCGAGCGTCGCCCGAAGGCGAACAGTGACGAGGGCTGCTCGCCAGACCTCGACACGGCCCGGTGCACGGCGTCGTACGGTGAATGGTGACTGCCGCCTGCGGGGCTGGCCGGGTAGGCGAGGCGCACCAGGGCTCCGTGGGCGTCGTCACTGTCGGACGTGGCTGGGCATGGCGGGCCGCGGGCAACGCGAGTGCTCGCGGAGGGTCCCGACGGCGCTAGTTGGGAGGCTCCCCGCGTCGCGCTGAACGTCCGACGGCTGTCGTCGCCGGAGAACGCCCGGAGGACGTCGCGGAATGCCGCGTGCACTTTGGCGGAGATCCAGCCATCGGTGTCGTTGTCCCTCTCCCCCAGGAGTCTGCGCGTCAACTCTGAGGCCTCGGCGGCGAACGCCGGCTCCTCCTCCGCCTCCGCGGGGAAGATTCCCGCGAGGGTTGGGGACTTGCCGGGCTGTCGCGGTCTGTCGCCGCCAGAACGAGGAGAGGAGATGGAGGCGGCCCTGAGGAGCGCACGCACCGCGTCGTAGACCCTGCGGGCAACCACCGCCATCTTCTCATCCGCCGGGACTATGTCGACGCTGCTGTTGCTGCTACTGCTGTTACTGCTGTAGCTGCTGTTGCTGCGGATACGGATGATGTGACTGTCGACGTCGAGAGACATCCAGTCGGCTCTCAGCTTCATCCACTCTGGCTCGTCTGTGTGAAGTACGGGGGAGGGGAGGGGGGTGGGATTCTGATCAAACTGACTGATTGAACACCAACCAATTGACCGATAAAACAATTGACCGATCGACTGTATAGTGTAGTGTATAGTGTAGTGTATAGTAGTGTATTGTATAGTGTAGTATATGGTAGTGTATACTGTAGTGTAGTGTATAGTGTAGTGTATAGTGTAGTGTATAGTAGTGTGGTGTATAGCCGTGTAGTGGATAGTAGTGTAGTGTAGAATATAGTGTAGTGTATCATGTAGTGTATAGTAGTGTATAGTGTAGTTTATAGTAGTGTAGTTTATAGTAGTGTAGTGTATAGTGTAGTTTATAGTAGTGTAGTGTATCGTGTAGTGTATAGTAGTGTAGTGTATAGTGTAGTTTATAGTAGTGTAGTGTATAGTGTAGTTTATAGTAGTGTAGTGTATAGTGTAGTTTATAGTAGTGTAGTGTATCGTGTAGTGTATAGTAGTGTAGTGTATAGTGTCGTTTATAGTAGTGTAGTGTATAGTGTAGTTTATAGTAGTGTAGTGTATAGTGGTGTAGTGTATAGTGTAGTGTAGTTTATAGTAGTGTAGTGTATAGTGTAGAATATAGTGTAGTCTATCTTGTAGTGTATAGTAGTGTAGTGTATAGTGTAGTGTATCGTGTAGTTTATAGCAGTGTAGTGTATAGTGGTGTAGTGTATAGTGTAGTTTATAGTAGTGTTGTGTATAGTGTAGTTTATAGCAGTGTAGTGTATGGTAGTGTAGTGTATAGTGTAGTGTATAGTAGTGTAGTGTATAGTATAGTTTATAGCAGCGTAGTGTATAGTGTAGTGTATAGTAGTGTAGTGTATAGTGTAGTTTATAGTAGTGTAGTGTATAGTGTAGTGTAGTGTATAGTGTAGTTTATAGTAGTGTAATGTATAGTGTAGTATATAGCAGTGTAGTGTATATTGGTGCAGTGAAAAATGCACCGTACGAGCAGGGGGGACACCACTCACAGTGAACGTCGACTCTGACTTCTGCGCTGGGGCTGCGTCCGCACGCGTTGCTCACGACGCAGCCGTAGTGACCCACGGCCCCATTGTCGACAGAGTTCATCGCCAGCGAACGGTCGCCCCCCGCGTCCTCCCGCAAGGGGCAGCCGTCTCGGAACCAGCTCACGGTCACGTTGTCGCCGCTTCCGCTGCTTCCGTCGGGCACGCGACAGCTGAGGGTGACGTTGTCGCCCTCGACGATGCGGTTGGGGTGGACGTCGATAGACGGCATGGGCGGTGGTCCTGCAAGGGGAAGGAAATTAAATCAAATGGACAATGACCGTGCGTCGCACGCACTTTCATATGCATTGTATACTACTATACTACACTACACTACTACACACTACACTATACACTACACACTACTTTACACACTACCCTATATTATTATACACTACACACTACTATACACAACACTACACACTACAATATATACTACTTTACACTACTATACACTATACTACTATACACTACACTTTAGACTACATTATACATTTTACATTCCACTACTATACACTACTACACACTACACTACACTACTACACACTACACTACTATACACTACACGCTACTATACACAACACTACACACTACAATATATACTACTATACACTACTATACACTGTACTACTATACACTACACTTTAGACTACATTATACATTTTACCTTACACTACTATACACTACACTATAAACTACTATACACTTTCGTATACACTACACTACTATACAATACTATACACTACACTATGAACTACTATACACTACACTATACACTTCACTATACATTTTACATTACACTGCTTACACTACACTACTATATACTACACGATACACTACACTATACACTTTACATTACACTACTATACACTATACCATTATACACTACACTATACACTACACCATACACTTTACATTACACTACTATACTACGATACACTACACTATGCACTGATGTAGAGACAGTACGGGGCGATAGTGGGGCAGTATGGCTCCCCGGGACCATGGTTACCAGTGGACGTGCTCCTGATGTTCTAGATTTGAAGTTTTCGTGACTGCAAGGATTCATACTCTTTGGTTTTTTCGGTAAAGTCACGTAGGTAGAAAATAAAACAACTAAATTAATTCACGAAAAAATAAAACAACTAAATTAAATCACGACGTTTCGGGCGCAACACAAGCATCCTTCTTCAGGTGGGGACGATGTAGCGAAAGCACAACCGCTTAAGTGTGTCGGTTGTGCTTTCGCTACGTTGTCCCCACCTGAAGAAGGACGCTTGTGTTGCGCCCGAAACGTCGTGATTTAATTTAGTTGTTTTAGTTTTTACCTACGTGACTTTACCGAAAAAACTAAAGAGTATGTGCTCCTGATGATTGATGAGACAAACGTTGACAGGGTCACGTGACGGAGGAGCACGTGATCCAATCGCGGGGGGAAGTGTAATTAGGGCGGCCAGCGACAGAGCCCGGTGCGGCGAGGAGGAGTCGGGGAATAGGGGCGTGGCCGGACCGGGCGAGGCTTAACGGCCGGAGCTGGTGGCTGTCGGTTTGGGGATTCGTCGGGTCGTCTCCGTCGTCCGCGAGTTGTCTTGAGACCGGAAGGGACGTTGTCTCCGAAGAGAGTCGTCCAACTACCCGAGTGCGCAGAGTCACTCCGCGCTTGCACGTTGGGTCGTCACTGGACTTTGTTTATGATAACTACAGTAAAACCTTGGATTGTGAGTAACTTGATCTGCGAGTGTTTTGCAAGACGAGCAATTTTTTAAATAAATATAAATTTGATAAACGAGCGAGGTCTTGCAATACGAGCAGTACGTATACGCTTTGTCTGCCGAGCGTCACATGATCACAACTGATATACGTGTGCTTTGATATACGAGTGCTTTGGATTATAAACACGTTTCCGGAACGAATTATGTTCGCAATCCAAGGTTTTACTGTATACGGAAGACAAGACGGTGTCTCTGAGAGCTACATTACGACTATACACTACACTACTATACACTAACGGTTGGTGCCAAGTTCAACATACATACGTATGTGTAACAGCACTTGCCCTCAATAGCCTGTTAGAGGCTACATGGGGGGGTCCTTTGTCTTTGTGGACATGTTACCAGCGTCGTGATGGCTAGGAGATGTTAACTACCTCGCCTGGTATGCAGGAAGTCGTGGGTTTGATCCCATCCCAGACCATGCCTACTGCTGTATATTTGGAGTTTGTATCTCTCTCTGCGTGGAGATGTTAACTACCTCGCCTGGTCTACAAGAGGTCGTTGGTTCGATGCCATCCCTGACCATGCCTGCTGCTGCTGTATATGTGGAGTCTACGTCCCTCTTCCCGTGGTGGTCACGTGGATTTTTCTCGGTTTTTTCCCTCCACATTTAGAATGAACATCACCACGCGTTTAGAGTTTTTGACTGCTGCTATGTATTCCCACACGATGATGATGATATCAGCCACTTGGTTGAGCTGCTATGATTGGGTCGCTTGTCTGAAAGAGAAGCTACACAGCTGCTCAGTGGTGGGGCCTCTTTACACCTGGCACAAGAAAAAAATACCAATTAATCAATAAACCGACGTGAACGTACCTGTGACGCGCAAATCATACGACTGGCACGTTGTAATATCGTAATTTAGTTTATATTCCGATATGTAGACTCCCCGGTCTCCCTCGCCCACCCCTTTGAGCCGCAGAGACATGTCAGCGGTGAGCTCCACTCGCCCCGTGTAGTTCGGGTTGGGTTCTTGAGACGACCAATCAGACGCTTGGAACAGATCGTAAATGACGGTTTTTTTTTCCTTTCGCATCACGATCCAGCTCAACTTGGTTCCGTCCGGAATGGTGCACCTCCGTGAGAAGGTGACGGACGCTCCGAGGCAACTGGCGACGGATTCGAGAGCGCCCACGGGACCTGCGGAACGAAAGGGGGGAAAAAATTACACGGCACGCATTTGTACGTTACACGATACACTACTATACACTACACTATACACTACACTACTATACACTACACTATACACTACTATACACTACACTATACACTACACTACTATACACTACACGATACACTGTACACTAAACTACTATACACTACAATATATACTGATATACACTAAACTACTATACACTGATATACATTACACTACACACCACTATACACTATACTAAACACTATACACTACAATACTATACACTACACTACTGTACACCAGAGGTGTGGACTCGAGTCATGTGACTTGGACTCGAGTCAGACTCGAGTCATGAATTTGATGACTTCAGACTCGACTTGGACTTGCATAACAATGACTTTGTCCCACCTCTGCTGTACACTGCTGTACACTACACTATACACTACACTATACACTACATGATACACTACACTATACACTACACTATGCACTATACTCTACACTACTATACCACTAAACTACTATATACTACACTACTATACACTACACTATACACTACTATACCACTAAACTACTATATACTACACTACACTACTATACACTACACTACTATACACTACACTAACATAGATTGTTATACATTACACTGTACACTACACTATACACTGCACAACCATTACCAGAGAAATGTCACATCTACTCGAATTTGTAAATGTTGTGGATTTTACTCTCCAACACACAGCAGCCGGTTAGTGTTCTTGGTTGTTTCGGGAAAGTCACGTAGACAGAAAAGAAAAATCTAAATTATAAGCAAAAAACCCCACCGTGGGGTTTTTTGCTTTTGGTTTTCTATCTACGGGACTTTACCGAAAGAACCAAGAATATGAATTCCTGCAGTCACGAAAGTTTTTTAAGTTAAAATGTAGCCGGTTAGTGCTGAACTGGTAAACTTGTCGGCACGTTTTGCTTACGTGACAAACCCCTGACGGATTGGCTGTGTGCCGGGTGGTGGCGGGGTTAACGACACATCTATATACTTACGCGATCTAAACCATAAAAAACTTTTATTATTAACAATACTTGTCGTAAAAGCCTTACTATACACTACACTACTACCCTATACATTACACTATACATTACACTATACACTACTATACACTACACTACTATATACACGACACTACTATATACACTATAATACGATACACTACACACTATATACACTACTATACACTACACTATAAACATAACACTGCACTACACACTACTACTATAAACTACACTACTATACACGACACTATACACTACACTACTATACGCTGATACACTCTATACACTACTATACGCTGCTAGTGGACCGGTGGTTGCCTCAACCAACCACAGGCTGATGTGATGCGCCTAGTGTAAGTGTAGTAGTTTAAGGGGGGTAATTGTACACACGTGCGGGTTGGGAACAGTGGGATCGAATGGGGACATGCTGCTGTTGCTGGGGGCCAACGAGTGAGTCGGAGACGGCCCGTTGGGCAATTAGGGGGCAGGGCAGTGATTGGCCGGTTGTTGTTGTTGAGTACAAGGTGGCGCCTCCAAGTCTGGGAATAGAGACAGGTGGCAGCGTGGGCCTGGGGCGCAGGGCGTTAGGGGGGACACCAACTAATTAATTGGGAATTCATGAGGAGGGGGATAAATAAGGCAGCGTCAGAGAAAAACCGGGAGTTGTGCTGGGAGCTGGACGCAGTCGGTCGGGGCAGAAGAGAATAAGCATAGAGTAGCAGCGGAGAAGAAGAAATGTAGAGTAGCAGCGGAGAAAAAGAAGTGTAGGGTAGCAGTGGAGTAGAAGAAGAAGCATAGAGTAGCAGTGGAGAGGAAGAAGATGTGTAGGGTAGCAGTGGAGTGGAAGAAGACGTATAGGGTAGCAGTAGAGACAGAGAGTGAGACGGAGAAGCCGAACGAGAGCGACAGTCGGAGTGAGACGGAGAAGCCGAGAAAGAGCGACGGCTAGAGTGGGACGAGGAAGCAGAGAAGGGAGTCGGGAGTGACGGAGAGAGAGAGGGAGGAACGGAGCGAGCGAGGCCGGCGGGGCGCGGCGAGCGAGCGGAGAACGCGTTAAAGGATGGCGGCGAAATGTGCTGTGTTGGATAAATAAAGTGACAACAGAAAAGAAAGAAGTTGTCCGCATAAAGTTCAGCACTACATAAGCAATCACGATTAGCTTAGGTGCATGCCCGCCCGCCCGCCTGCCTGTCTGCCTGCTGCTGTGCTTGCATGCCCGCCTGCCAGTACAGAGCCTCTCGACCGCCAAGACTCCTGCTGTGTGTTAGTTACAAACCGCACCTCTCCATAACAAAGGCTCAGTCCTTTGTTATGCAGTCTACTCTTGGTCTTAAGCCTCACCTTACCATATTAATAAAAAAGTGTGCCGTTCCTGGCCCTTCCCCCCTCAACCATTATATATACGGGGTAGTATTTCTTGTGATCTCTCATTTACTTGATACAGCTGTCGTGGCTGTGACGGTTCCACCTGAAGATGGAGGCTTGTGTTGCTTCCGAAACGTCGTGAATTTTTTAATTTGTTTTTATTTTACTTTTATTAATTACATTTTTTTACCTACGTGACTTTACCGAAAAAACCTAAGAATATGAATATCCTGCTGTGCCGTTGGCAGCCCACGGTAACCGGTGTCCCGCAACACCGGGCCAAATCGGTAAGGAGGGGGGAGATATCTCGGAGCTAAAGTGGTCCCTCAGAGGCATCTACAACTTGGCAACCACTGCCCCTACTGCCTTGTGGGTAAACATACGGCTAGGGGAGAACCCACCCTCCCCGCCGACTCCAAATCTGTGGTTGGGGGTCCCGCAACGGCGATGTTCAACAAACCGGATCTCTGGCAGTCCCCCGCAGCTTTGGAAAGTCGTCTGGCCAGAGCTGCGGGGGACTGCCGGAGTCCGTCTGTGCCAGTCTGTCTGGCTGGAGTGAAGACGGCGAGTGCAGGGACTGCGCAACCCTCTAACCCTTCCCTGTTTAAATTGCGATTTAAAGCTTTCGTGACTGCAGGGATTAATCTTCTTGGTTCTTTCGGTAAAGTCATCACGTAGAAGGAAAATAATAAAATAATAAAAATAAAATAGAATAGAATAATTCTCACGACGTTTCGGCCACAACGCAAGCAGCCGTCCTCAGGTGAAGAACAGGTCTGTCGGAAAGACAGCGTCTGAATGAACGATACCAAACTTGGCAGCGTATATTTAAGCTGGGTTGGAGGGGGAAGAGCGCCTTGCGTTGTGGCCGAAACGTCGTGAGAATTATTTTATTATGTTTTATTTACATTACACTATTATACACTACACTATTATACACTATACACTACACTATTATACACTACATTAGTACACACTATACATTACACTATTATACACTACACTATTATACACTATACACTACACTATTATACACTACATTAGTACACACTATACATTACACTATTATACACTACACTATTATACACTATACACTACACTATTATACACTACATTAGTATACACCATACATTACACTATTATACACTATACATTACACTATTATACACTACATTAGTACACACTACACATTACACTATTATACACTACACTATTATACACTATACACTACACTATTATACACTACATTAGTATACACTATACATTACACTATTATACACTATACTCTACACTATTATACACTACATTGGTATACATTATACATTACACTATTATACACTATACACTACACTGTTATACACTACATTAGTATACACAATACACTACACTATTATACACTATACACTACACTATTATAAACTACATTAGTATACACTATACATTACACTATTATATACTATACACTACACTATTATACACTACATTAGTATACACTATACATTACACTATTATACACTACACTATTATACACTATACACTACACTATTATACACTACATTAGTACACACTATACATTACATTATTATACACTATACATTACACTATTATACACTACATTAGTACACACTACACTATTATACACTACATTATTATACACTATACACTACACTATTATACACTACATTAGTATACACTATACATTACACTATTATACACTATACACTACACTATTATACACTACATTAGTATACACTATACACTACACTATTATATACTATACACTACACTATTATACACTACATTAGTACACACTATACATTACACTATTATACACTACACTATTATACACTATACACTACACTATTATACACTACATTAGTATACACTATACATTACACTATTATACACTACACTATTATATACTATACACTACACTATTATACACTACATTAGTATACACTATACATAACACTATTATACACTATACACTACACTATTATACGCATTAGTATACATTATACATTACACTATTATACACTATACACTACACTATTATACACTACATTAGTATACACTATACATTACACTATTATACACTACACTATTATACACTATACACTACACTATTAAACACTACATTAGTATATACTATACACTACACTAGTATACACTACATTAGTATACACTATACACTACACTATTATACTCCACACCATACATTACTATAAACTACACTATACACTACACTATTGAGATTGCGTAGTTAAAATACCGCGTGCATGGCTACCCTGGCTGGGGGGTGGTGGTGGCTGTGGACACAGACGGGGCTTATCTCTCCCAGTCACACACAGCCACTGACACCTGCGGAAAGGAACCGACAAAACAGGGGAACTTGCAACACGGAGTTCTCGAAACAATGAACGTCGGGGTGGCTTTGGCTGAGCCTTGTCAACGATTATTTTCGAGTGATTATTTCGCCACGTGCACTTTCCCCCGCTGAGCAACGTATGAGCCTTTTTTAAATCCTTTATATTAAGTTCGCTTGCTTGCTTGCGTACTTGCTTGCTTGCTTACGACCGTGCAAATC